GTTTCAATTGCTGGGTCCTCTGATTTTGCACGCGAAAGAAATCAACAGCCGTTTTAATTCTTGCACCCATTGACATCGGCACCTCGTGCCTGCTTGAGGTGAGTTTGCTGGTTAATTAACACTTTTTTAAAAAACAAAATTAGCACGTTTACCCTAAGGATTATTTTTATCTCCCCTGCTTTCTCATTCAAACGCTGAAGCCAGCACTTCTGCAAAGAAAGCAAAGGGTGATTTGTCAAGTGGAGGAAGGCCAGGCACATTTTCGGGAGAGTTCAAAGTTTTCTCAGCTGTTCCACCAGCCGGGAACATTCCCTCCTTCTCATTCTTGCTCTCGATCTCCTCCCCAGACTTCTTAATGAATGCTATTTGTGGTTGGTTTGTCTGTCAAGAAAGGAGGTCAAGAAAGAACCCCTCAAAATATAGATGGGGAAATCGGGCCATGGTTCACTGACAGAAGGTCTCCCAAGAGGAGGATAGGGCCCCTGTTTTTCATGATATATACAGAGTATCCGTTACTGCTCATCAGCACTTTTAACTGCCAGGGTTCAAGCCTTAAGGAATCTCAAGGATTTTAATTTAATTAAGGCCTAAGAATGCTCTGCTCTTGGGAACTCCAGCGTACTTCCCTGAAACTTTTGCAGGAAACTGTAAAGATCTCCCCAAAGGAAAGAATCAAAGGATGCAACGGAGAGAAGGGGCTAAACCCGCAACCCATAGCTTGCAAAGTTGATTTTGTTTTGTCCCGTTCAAGAGCACGACAACTACACCGCACCGTTCTAGCAAGCTGATACCGCTGTAACTGTCATGGCTCCTTCTCATGGAATTCTGGGAGTTGTAGTTTGGTGAATGTCCGGCTTGGGTTCAGGGGAACCCACCCAGGCTCTTTTCCAGAGAATTCTGGTGTTCCTGTTACGTGCCGTCAAGTCGGAACCAACTTATAGCGACCCAAAAAAACAGTGCCACAATCCCAGTGAGTTTCCAAGAAAACAGTGCCACAATCCCAGTGAGTTTCCATGGCTGAGCGGGGATTTGACCTCAGACCTCCTGAGTATGAGTGCATCACTCTATCCACTGCACCACACTGAATATCCCAGAGAATTCTAAGTCTCTCTAATACAGTGGTGCCCCGCATGACGACGCAGAGAATTCCAAGTCTCTCTAATACAGTGGTGCCCGCATGATGACGATAATCCGTTCCATAGAAATCACTGTTTAGCGAAAACATTGTCTTGCGAAAACCATTTCCCCATTGGAATGCATTGAAACCCATTTAATTAATGCGTTCCAATGGGGAAAAATCGTCGTCGTTCTGCGAAGGGAAGCCATTTTGCAAAGCACCGATCAGTTGTTATAATGGCTGCCCTGCAAAGCATCGGTCCCGAAAACACCCGTTTTGCAAAGAGCCGATCAGTGGCAAAATCATCATCTTGCGAAAATCGGTTTGAGAAACAGGGACCCAAACATCGTCCAGCAAAAATCCGAAGCAAGGATCCAAACATCGTCCAGCAAAAATCACCCATTGGAATCACTGTTTTGCGAATCGCTATAGCGATTGCAAAACCTCATCGTCATGCAGATTCGCCGTTTTGCAAGGTCGTCGTCTAGTGAGGTACCACTGTACATAATAATTGTGTGCCACCGAGTCAATTCCAAATCATGGTGAGCCTTTCCTGGGTTTCCCAGGTAGAAAATCCTCAGAAGTGTTTTGCCATCCCCTTCTTCTCGGGGCACGTCTGGGATTGTGCAGCTGGCCCAAGGCCACCGGGGCACTTCTGGGAATGGGCAGCTGGCCCAAGGCCACCCAGGCTGGTTCTTTTTCCAGGAGCCACAGTGGGGAATCAAACCACCTCTTGTTAGATCAGGCATAGGAACCCACACCTCGCTCACTGAGCTATCCAGCCAGTTTCCAAATAATTAATCCCGGGATGGAAGCTGGGTATCCAGAAATGGTACGAAGCTGCTACAATTATATAATCTAGATGTGCTCTTAATTTCCCTGCCAATGTGAGGAGAGAACTAATGCATCTTTAACAATGACCAACAGAAAAGAGAAAAGCATGGGGGGTGACTTTTTGGAGGAGGAGAAGATACAGAGAAAAACAAGGTCTGTTAACAGAACAACACGAATACTTTTGGAGAGCTTAGCATCATTCTTTAGCCAAAGAACACCAAGATCCTTTTAGCTGCAAAAAAATTCAAGCAGTCTTTTAAAAAAAAACATTCAGTTCCCTGCGTCTGTTCATGATTTGATGGCTTTTACCTGGCTTGTGCACAAAGCAAGAATGAAAGGGTTTGTTGGTTTGTTTTTAAAAAGGACTGTTCAATGGGGCTTTCGATCAAGGTTCTTTCATCGCTCCATCTAGGGCTTTCTCACTGCCACTTCTCAAAGGACCTGCCTGTTTGTTTCCTTTCACCTGGCCTTAGCTCCAGTCATTGACCGGCTAGCTTTTTTCCTTTCATACATGATCTCCCGGTTCCTTTTGGGATTCTTGCCTCGGATTCAGGATACCTTGCTCTCCCCACTCGTCAAGGCCATGGGCATCCGCCATGGGCGTCTGCACCTTAATTACCATTATAGGGTTTTTTTAAGGTTTTGCTTATTTTTTAAAATTCTATTCTTTTAAGTATTGTGGGCCACCTTGGGTCACTTTACTGGGAGAAAGGTAGCCTAGAAATAAATAAATAAAACATTAGGGAAATATTTCATTAGATCTTACTGGGTGTCCACAGCAATCCAGATACAACATAGAATCACAGGATCCTAAAATAATGGAATTGTAAGGTGCCTCTGAGGCCAATCCCCTGCTCAGTGATGGAATCCAGATCGAAGCAAATCTGAATGTCTTAAGCTCTGGAGCGCTCACCACTTCCCAAGGTTATTGGTTCCACTGTTGTACTGCTCTAACAGTTAAGAAGTTTTTCCCGACATCATGTCCTCCTTCTCTGCTCTTCCTCATCTTTCATATAAACTGGGCCAACTATGCAGATCAAACCCTTTTGCATGATTTCTTTCCAGAAGAACAGAGTTACGCAGACTACGGGCATCTCTCCCACTTCAAATTTAATCCCACTGCTGCCACTTCCAAGCTTCTGAGAGTCTGGCTTCTATTGCTCGCCATTGGGCATCACCACCCCCAGTCCTAAGGGACTAGAAACTTGTGGTCTCACAGAAAAGCTGCATGTACTGCTCCATTAAGTGTCGCCCCCCTGTTCTTAACAGCCTCCTCCAGAGGAAAAGGCAAATTGTAAAGGTAGGAGCCAAGAAAGGGAGAGTGAGCAATGTTCGGCCTTCTTTAAAATGTCAAAGGGACCGGACTAACTTTTTGCAATTAAAAAGCCACACTATGTTCAGACTTAATTACATGGAGCAGGCAGACTCTGTCACACTTCTGATTTAACGATCCTAACTCCGCCACAGTAATTGCTCCTTCCATATGGATTGAAAATCTGTGCGGGAGCAGATGCACAGCGGTTGCATTTCACGTACGCCAACTTTGCAACTTCCAAGTTGCAAAAAAGGGATAATGCCGTCAGCCGTCAAATCCCAGGGCTGGATTCTTACAGGGCGAAAGATTTCCCTGTCTTCTCATAAATAAATAAACAAACAAATAAACAAATAAATAAATAAATAAATAAACAAACAAACAAACGAATGAATGAATGAATGAATGAATGAATGAATGAATGAATGAATGAATGAATGAATGAATGAATGAAACATCTTAAGCTGATTTATCCCAGCAGAAAAACATTTGTCTCTCATCCTACTGAACAGGCAGCAAGAGAAATCGTGACAGCCCTCGGTGGTTCCTAACAAAACCAGAGAAACCATTAAATGATGGCATCATATTGAAAGCAGCCTGGTCATCGGAGGAACCCCCAAATGCCAGACTTGAGACCCCAGGAGAGCCTAATACATCCCTAAAGCACAGAGCGGTCCCCCTTAACATTACAACTGTCATATGTTCCATGAATATGTATCTTCTCCTGTTTGGGAGAAATTTAAGCCAACAGTACAGAGTAAGAACTGGTCTTTATGACATCCGTATATTTTGAATTTCAATTTTTTCAAGGGTGGGTTGGATTTTGGGTCTCTTCTGCCAATCTCTTTCATTAGGTAACCCCCCCCCCCAACAGAGCAGTGTGTGATCCTGTATTGCCAACTTGATTGGAAGTGACCTCCCCAGCAGAGCATGATATAACTGAGCATTACTAAGAAACATCTCATCCTCCCCACCCCCCGCACGCGCTTGCTGCCATCAAATCGCCGGCTGCTTCACACAGTTCCTCCTCCGCTCGCTTAAAAAGGAGGCCGGGGTGTCGGACTGCGTGAGAGCCCACGCTCCTCTCCCAAAATTAGCCTCAAAGGTGCTACCGGACTGGGACACGTCCTTCTTCGATCAGCTCCCCAGCGTTCGCACAAGGCCGATGCTGAAAACTAAGTTACAAATGGGGTTTCTGTGGATCCTGAAGATTTGTGGAGAGAAACGGTAGGTTCTGAAATGCTTCCAGCCATCGGCTCTGGTGTAAACGCTGGGTGAAAAACCATTTTTATTCCCTGCACCCTCTTCAACTGCTAATTTGCGTCCCTTGCTGTCAAATTTAATTCCCAGACTTCAGATGACTTATAAATGGCAAATGAGAGGCATCTTACTGCCTGTGACTGCATTCCAGCTCTTACTTCGCCTTATTTTCCCCCTTTTCGCTCGTCCTGTGTTTATTCAGACAAGCCTCTGACAACCTAGACTGGGGTTGATGTTAAAGGTATTATAACAGGTTGGGGGGGGGCTGTTCTTTCTTTCTTTCTTTCTTTCCTTCTTTCTTTCTTTTGCTGAAGGACTTCGATTATGTTTTCCACCTGCTTTCACAATTTAATTGCGTCGGTGGGTACCTAAATGTCATTATGAGACCCTTGGTGGCCGTAAAAAGGCCTGATCCTGCTTTGTTTTCAAAATCAGGTAAGATCAAGGTAGGAATGGTGGCATCTCCCGGCGGCTCACCTGATTGATGTGTTTCAGCTTGTCGATGATCTGGCTAATCACAGGTTCCGGTCCTTTCACCTTGATCTCATGGTTACCTGCCTGAGTTTTTCCTCCATTCCGGACCGGCTGCCGGCTATACCTGCAACAGGGAGAAGTCAGGAGTGAGCATGGCACGTCTGCTCTCAAGAGCACCCCATACCGGTATCTTCCAGGCATTTTTAACTACAACTCCCATCCTCCCCAGCCAGGACAGGCAAAGATCACAGGTGATATCATCTAACATCATCTAAGGAGTCCCCAGCATGGAAAGGCTGCCCCCAAAGCAGAAGGACAGCTATAATGCTTTACACCAGCGGGGGGTTGGACTAGATGACCCTCGGAGTCCCTTTTCAACCGTACAAGTCTATGATTTTGTCATATCTCAGTGTGTCCACTGAATTTCCTCCGGAAGGATTCTGGCAAGGAATGGCTGATGCTCCATGGTAGAGCATAGGCCCTCTCTAAAAACATCCCAGATTCAATGCTTCGCAGACCCAGGGTATAGCTTGGGACATTTGCAGCTAAGCAGAACTTGGAAGGAACTAGTTACATGTAAAATAGTTACATTTCTCTCATTGCCTTTGTTTTTGGCACTGAGCATGTAACAAAGTTGCATTTCACAAGCAGCGCAACATATACGAATCCGATTGTTTATCGACCCATTGTTTCCTAGTTACCTCTAACGGGCATTTGAGGCCTTGTTAAAAGCAATCTCTCGACTCCCTTTTGTGCCATACTTGCATTATTATTTCTTTAAATGCGAAAAAGAAACTAGCAACACACCTAATGATAGGAAGAAACCACCTACGCGTTTGGTAAAAGGGAGAAATGCACACAACAAGCTTCTTTCGATCAAGGAACTTTCCGGATTTTTCCGAATTCTGCAATTCAGCACCCGTAACCCATCACAAAAACAGAAGGAAAAAAGGGTAATAATTTTTTAAAACAAAGAAGTTACAATTTTTGCTGGTGGATGTTCTGTGCAGTCCGGAAAACAATTAATCATAGACTACAGATCCCATAATCCTCCCCAAAGTCTGCAGGACCATATGCTGTATCCAAAGCTTCTCCCACGGAAAAGATCTAAGTTGTTTTAGAAAGACTGCCCTCAGGAGGTTAGAAATGGCATGGCAAGCCCGAAGCTCATTTCTGCTCCGTTAACCGGCAAACTTTTGCCATAATTTTTTTTCCTGCACTGCTCACAAGTTCCTGGTGCATGTCTGAAAAAAGGATTTTTAATTCACAAAAGCTTTTTCGATTTGATTAGTGGCCTAATAAAAACATCGACGTTCTTCTACATTTCTGCAGCATCAAAGTTCTGTACAGGCTCACACGGCTAGATTAACTATGCCTCTGGCGCCACCTTGTGGAGCAGCTGCCACGGTGCACAGCGTGCATAACTGCTACTGCACTCCGTGTCCGAAATCCAGTTGGCAGTCACAGCTAGAGAAGGCCCATTGAACCAGTGGGGATCTGGAGAGTAAACTGCTCTGTTAGTTCCATATACCAAATACATCATAGAAGCATAAAACAGTTGAGTTGGGAGGGGCCTCTAAGGCCATCAAGTCCAACCCCCTGCCCAAGGCAGGAACCCAAATCAAAGCAGATCTGACAGAGGGTTGTCCAATTTTCTTTTAAATGCCTCCAGCATCGGAGCACTCACCGCCTCCTAAGGTCATGCATTTTGTTGTCGTACTGCTCTAACAGTTAAATGCCTGTTAAATTCCTCTCCTCCTTTATTTATTTATTTATTTAACTTATCTCCTGCCTTTCTCCCGACAGAGGAACATAAAGGCACTAACTAATTATTTCTTAAGCCCTGGTTCTCCGAGGACACTTGTTTTATGCTGACATTCTGTGCAACTTCCAGAGATCTTGAGCCTCGTGGCGCAGTGGTTAAAACGCTGTACTGCAGCTAAAACTGTGCTCACGACCTGGGGTTCAAATCCCAGGTAGCCGGCTCAAGGTTGACTCAGCCTTCCATCCTTCCGAGGTCGGTAAAATGAGTACCCAGCTTGCTGGGGGGGCAATGTGTAGCCTGTATAATTAAAATGGTTCTCCGAGGACACTTGTTTTATGCTGACATTCTATGCAACTTCCAGAGGCCTCAATGGGAGAAGAGTTTCCTTTCGCTCCCACGAAAGATACAAGGACCGTGACAAAAATTGTCCTCAAAGCATCTAGGAGAACGAGGATTTCCGGGAATATTCTTGACATTCCTAACTGGCCAAACCCATTTCTTCTGGCCTGGTAGCTGGTAGACGACCTTCCTTCTCTTGCAGTTTTCCTGACTGGCCACCAAACGTGGCTGTTTCACGATGCGTACACATATGGAATCACCGCCTAATGGAGTTAGAAAGGGCCTGTAAGGTCATCTAGTCCAACCCCCTCCTAAAGGCAGGGATCCAAATCAAAACAGATTGGACAGATAGTTGCCTAATTTTCTCTTGAATCGGACTGATAGTTGCCTAATTTTCGCTTGAATGCCTCCACAGCGCTGAAGCGCTCACCACCTCTCCCGTTGTCATACTGCTCTAACAATTAAGAAGTTTTTTCTGATATTCAGCCTAAATCTGGTTTCCTGTAGCATGAGCCCGTTCTGATGTGTCCTGCACTCTGGAATGATCCAGAACAGTTCTTTCCCTTCCTCCGTATGATAATCTTTCAAGTATTTGAAAAGTGTATACTATTTGGCCCTTTTTCAAGGTTAAGCTTGCCCAGATATTTCAGTCTTTCTTCACAGGGCCTCACTCCCACGAAGCCCCCCTCATCATCCAGAAGCAAAGCTGATAAGACTCACCGGGAACTTGTTAGAATATCTTAAGTCACAAAAAAATAATCTCAGGAAACAGGAGTTTAAGATGATTTTACGTTCACACAGTTCTTTAGTTTGCTCCGAGTTTAACTGCTGTTTCACAACAGTAACACATTCTTAAAACCTAGTACATTCTCCTAATGGGCTTTTAAAAGTTTTCCAACAGGCAACAGCGTCTGTCATCTTATTAAAAAAAAAGAAAGAATAAATCACCCCCAAAGCAGCTTATGAAACTTTCCAAATCTGAACATGTAATAGGATTTGAGATTTAAGAGCGGGAAGGAAGGGGGGAAAAAAGCCCAGCACAGTGTAAAATCCTTCAATTAGAAAAGAATTCCCTAAGACTTATACCCTTTGTATGTAGATTTGGAAATTGAGTTGTTATGCCACTGCAGGTTCATCTTTAATTGCTTGTGCTTTACGATTGACAGCCCGTATACTTTTCACCCTCGCCACTTTAGTAAACGTTTCTCGTCCTTGCTTAACACTTCTGGAAATGTTTCCACAATAATGCTGTAACTCCATAGCTAAGATGGTCTCAGCAGTTACAGACGGGGGAGAGGGGCGAACTAGCTTTTTTTGGTAGATGCCACTTAAAAGTTAGGGTTTTTTTAAAAAAAATTCATAATAAATAATAATCCTGTGCTGTCAAGGGCAACATTTTTCAGAGTTTTCCAGGTACCAAGTACTGAGAAGTGCTTTACCCTTTTCTTCCTCTAGGGGGCGCCCAGGGACTGTGCAGCTTGCCCAAGGCTACCCACGCTGGCTCTGCTCTCAAGAGTCACTGTCGGGAATTGAACTCCCAACTTTGTGCTCCACAGCCAGTTAACAAACTCAACAAGCTATTATTATTATTTTGGATTATAACCCCACATCTCCCAGCCGTTGGGGGCATCGTCTGTAGATACGCCCGGAAACTTATTCCTACAAAAATTAACCAACTCAACAAGCTATTATTATTTTTTGGATTATAACCCCACAACTCCCAGCCATTGGGGGCATCGTCTGTGGATACGCCCGGAAACTTATTCCTACAAAAAGGGGCACAGAGAAAGCCATGTAGTGGGTCTAAAAATTCGCTGCCCCCTTTGAGTAACTGCTAGCAGAGGCAATAGCTTCATTCTAACGAACAGTAGGGCCGGCCCTGAAAGAGAGCTGTCAGTGCACTAGAGCAGTGGTCCCCAACCTTAGGCCTCCAGATGTTCTTGGATTTCAGCTCCCAGAAATCCTGGCCAGCAGAGGTGGTGGTGAAGGCTTCTGGGAGTTGTAGTCCAAGAACACCTGGAGGCCCAAGGTTGGGGACCACTGCACTAGAGGAAGCAGCTATATCTGGATCATTTTTGACTATTAGTTTTCTTTAGCTTGTCAACACCCTTTGACAGTTACAATGCAAACTAGCACAACACGGCAGCTAGTTCTTTCCAGAAGGTCCCCCACATGTTGGATAAGAAAGAAACAGATCCTGGATTCCACAGTTCCAAAATTGAGACTTCCTGTTCGTAGTTCAGACTTCATAAGACCAGAACACTACACTGATATACATGAATGGTTGTTAAATCTTCCCCACCACCCCGTAACCAGGGACCTTAACAATGCTTCTGCATCGAGAGCAGGGCCTTTTGTACGGTGGCACCTTCTTCATGACACACTCTCCCAAACAAGCCTCACCCTCCTTCGTCTGTGGGTAGAATTTTTATTTACTTAGAACTGCAGAGTTCGAAGGGACCCGATGGATCATCAAGTCCAGCCCTTACCAAGGAGGCACAGCGGGGGAATTGAACTTCCAACCTCGGAAGCCAGAGACCTGAAATCACTGAACTATCCAGATAGCTGGAATACTTTCTTTCCTGTCCATTCAACCCGACTGGTTTTGGTTCATTTCTTCCACAGCTCAAGCTAGTTATTTTAAACAGCTTTGGAGCATATTTGTTTGCAAGCGGTCTAGATTGTGACTCGTTTCCTGCTGTCAGACAGCATCATCCCCATACCAGTACAAAAAATTACAAGATGGCGTTGAAGGAAGGAAGGAAGGAAGGAAGGACGGACGGACGGACGGACGCACACATGCATGGACAGACAAAAGAAAGAAAGAAAGAAAGAAAGAAAGAAAGAAAGAAAGAAAGAAAGAAAGAAAGAAAGAAAGAAAGAAAGAAAGAAAAGTTAAATTCCAGGAGCACAGTGTTCCAAGATGACAACAGGGAAGGCAAAGGCATAGAATATCTCCCCACCTTTCCACCACTTCCTGGCCACTCCAGCAAAAGGTGTTGTTCTGTACAGCAGAGCTGTGGCTGCAAATGTACTCTGGCAGACTGCTGTAGAAACCGCTGTGCGCCCTCAGTTTCGTGACAAGTTCCCTGGAAGGAGAAGACAAGCAAGGAATGAGAAGCAAGCACACAACCGGATTGCTTTCAACCTCGTTCCCAAGTCAGTGCCATTCCGCACATGGAGAGCCATGGAGTTCATTCGACGGCGGTCGGCTCCCTGGGGCTCCAAGGTGAGTGCAGTGGTTTCCAGTGTAACTGTGGGTTAAAACACACGGATGCTTTAGGAATGCCGCTAATTCTTGCTTTCGATGGATAGCCTAGGCGTGCCGTGTAATGTTTGCGCTCTCCCACACGGTGGTGCCCGAGCATCACTGCAGGAGCCATTTCTGCACAAGCCAAGAAGGCTGGAGCGAGCGGAAAACCACCAGCGAAAATGATTCAAAACCAACCCAGTGCCCTTTAAAAACTAATACATCTATTATGGCATAAGCCTCGGACTATCTGTCCAGCTGGCCCGACCGTCTAGATTCCCATCAAGAGTGGTTCTTCCAGATCTTCAGCAGAAGTTTGGTCCAAGTGTCCAAGGCAAGAGGAGACAAGGACCGTCCTTCCTGGGTTTCTCACTGGCAGTTCCCAGCAGTCCGAACCCGGAAGACAGCTAGTGGGTTGGGAGTCAGAAGCACTACTGGAAGAGAAGTTAGTTCTTTGGACTACACTTCCCAGAATCCTTCAGGCAGCATTAGACACACTGGCAGCAAGATTCTAATACGTGCCACTGGAATAATGTTTCTCCCCCCACCCCTCGTGATCTATTGCAGTAGGGCCTAAATATTTTCAGCTCACAACTCCCTTGATTTACTGGCCACTGGCCACAGCTCTCCCAGTATGACACTCTGGGTGGAAAGGGGTGGAAGTACTTCCACGGATATTGCAGAAGGACAGGTTCTGTGGCACCCTTGGCTGGGTTTGGTGGCACCCCAGGGCACCCGTTTGGGAACCACTGATCTACTGAATTGTAGTATAAGGTGGGGTGCAAGAGGTTGATCAGCTAAGGCATTTGCCTTCGTGGCAAGGAGATGTCACGGCACAATATCATCAACATATTTAAAGAGCAGGGCCACGGCTGGCCTTAATGAGCCATCCTGTAGGTAATTCCAAGAGGGAAACCAGCCCAAACTGATGATCTGGACACCGTATCCAGCAGCCACCCAGAACAGCATCCATAGGTGTCCGAATCGTTTTGAGCGTAGGAACCAACAGGGTTCACCTATTTGGGGAAGGGGGGGAGTTAAGTATTCAGAGCAAAATTCAAGAGCTACCCCAGATGTGGCACTTCCCTGTCCTCCAAAACATTACCACCATAACAAGGAAAACTTTGCCTTCTCTGTGCTCAGACAACGGGGCAGGAGATCAAAGCTAAGACCAGTTCTCTCTAAAGACACAGCCATTGACTTCCAGATGATGTTGCATTTACAGTCCCCACCATCCTAGCAAGTATGGCTGGCGGCAAGAAATTATGGGAGCTGCGTTCTAACAAGATCTAGGGAACCTGATTCTCATCATCCTTTAGCCAACCTGACTAAGAGAAAGAACTTGTGGTCTACCAATATCTGAAAGACCACATACCATATTTTTCGCACCATAAGACGCACTTTTCCCCCACAAAACAGGGGTGGAAAGTCTGTGCGTCTTATGGAGCGAAGAAAACAGATTATATTTTCCTGTTTTCTTCTCCTAAAAAATTGGTGCGTCTTATGGAGCGAAAAATACGGGTAGTTTCCATCTCTAGGTAGAAGGTCTCAACGGTTTGGGTTGGGGGGAATCTTGCAACCTTTTTGTTGGAGTTTTAGCAACCTCGCATGCTGCCTTATTAGGTTTGGTTGGGCTGGACCTTTCTGGGCTGGGGTGACTGTCAAGCCCTCCAGCAGCAACCCATTGTTCTTTCCTGCCTCTGATTTCAAAGAGAGCCACACCTTTATTAGGTTTGGTTGGGCTAGACCGTTCTGGGCTGGGGCGACTGTCAAGCCATCCAGCAGCAACCCATTGTTCTTCCCTGCCTCTGATTTCAAAGAGAGCCACGCCTCTCTGCTTAAGTGTCTTTTTCCCTCTCTTTTAGTCTGCTACCAGTTAGTAATTTACGTGGTTAGCAGTTAGTGCACTTCAAGAATGTTGTCTGGGAGCAGGCTGTAAGTCTGTCGCGACAACAGCCCTAGCAACTTGCACAAACTGAGATTTTAATCAGACCTTCGCCAGCGCAGGAAAAGAGAGAGAAATGAAGGACAGAAAGCAGAAAAGAGCAACAGCCTAGGCTAATCAGCCACGGCATTTCAGTAACGATGCCAATGAAGAAAACTTAACCAACTCCCAGCTCACCTATCGTGGGGAACCTGTTAGGTGTCAAAACTGGACCTGCTGTTTCATCATCCTTTCTAGAGCAAGAAAGCAAGGAAACAGATTCTCTTTATCGGTGGATATTTTGCCCTGGAAGCAACGTCTACGGCGCGCTGCTATTTTCTTCCACTAGTATTTTCTTGTTGTTTATTTTAACAGACGGTTCTAAGCAGTAAATCCTGTTCGCTCTGAAGCAAACTATTATAAAGATTAGTTGCGAGCTGCAGAAGTACCCAGCTGGGGGCAGACGAAACAAATATACTATTTGGAATAATACCAAAGGATGCTTTTCCTCCCTCCTTTTCGCTCTCTTTAGATAAACCATGCCTTTTCTCCTATAATCAGATTCTGGAAGATCGCACTCCTGGGGGGGTGGGACAAAACAAGAGACAAAATGAAATATGGACGCTTCAGTTTGTGTGTGTGTTTTTCTAACGGCACAGTATTGATGAGGGGTAATGCAACCGCAGCCGCTGAGGATAATACATGGAATGCAGTAGGCCTCCAGTGGTGCAAAAAAAGGAGTCTAGATAATGAGTGGCATTCAAGGGTGTAGTCCTCAAGCAAAGGAAGGGCAAACATTATGATCAGGATGTAAAAGGGAAGACCTAGCGCACCACAGCGAAAACTGGGTTTCCAGCTCCCATCATCCAGCAGTCTAGGAGAGAGAGGGTGATCTGTGGCTCTCCGGAATCTAGAACTGTGGTTCCCAACCTTGGGTCCCCAGATGTTCTTGGACTACATCTTCTAGAAATCCTGGCCAGTCCAGGGAGCGGTGAAGGCTTCTGGGAGTTGTAGTCCAAGAACATCTGGAGAACCAAGGTTGGGAACAACTGTCTAGAGCAACATGTCTCTCGGGACCCCTGCTTTTAGTTGCTTTTTTAAAAAAGAACAAAACAGAGGTGTCCTTTGTGTCATTGAAATCCATGTCAGCAAATAATAAGGGGCAACCGTCCCTTGTTGCACCCAACGGCTAAGCAGGTTGGGAGTCATTAGAGTTTTAAAGAAACGGCCTGAATCCAACTGGTAATACTCCATGAAGAGTAGACCCACTGAAGCAACAGAATTTACAGGCATGTTGAGTCACCATTCAAGCATTGATGCCATGGATTTACTCTAGACGAAACCAGCTGTGAAATTTGGATCAATAAGAGCACTGCATCCTTATTTGGAAAAGCCAAACGGTAGCAGGTAATGACGGTAAATTTAACATGTTACTTCCCAGCTCGGTCCAGCTTGGATGACATTTCTGACTACTGGTCATGCTGGCTAAGGAGGATGAGAGTGGAAGTCCAAGGCGTTCTGGAGGGTGCAAAGTGGGCGGTGCCTAGACCAATCCACGATGAATAATGAAGTATTGTATTCTAAGACAGAGCAGTGCTCCAGTTTTCAGAATTAAACCTACTCGAGAGAAAGCATAGGGACTTGCTTCGTGGGACAATCCAGGGAAAAGAACAAAGAGTAGGGCTGTTTGGATGTGCAGACCAGGCAGCTTTGAAGGACTGTGTCTCTGGAGAGAAAACATTTTAGGGACTTCCAATTGTAAAGACAGCAGGTCATCTAGTTTCATCCTCTGACATATGCCCTATTCAAAAACTAGAAAGTATCTAAGCACATGACCAAGACAGATCCCCTGCCGCCAAGATCGCTAGAGAAAGAATAAGATTTAAAATGTGTGGTCTGTGAGTTGTTCAGATCCAAAAGCTTCTTGAGAAGGTTGGTCCTGGTTACCTCACCTCCGCCGACTAGACAACGTCTCCTCCTGTTCCACGTGGGCAACCCGTACGATCCGTCTGTCAAGGATAATATCTTCAGGATACCAGGCCGACCGGTACTGTCTCTGCTGGGAATGGCCACATAATTTGCTGATCTGGAAAGCAGGAAAGTGAACAGGAGACCAGGATTAGTTTGATTTTATCCAGGAAACCTTGGGTTCCAACACACCGAGGAGAGCAAGGAGAGGACGAGAAAAGGGAGCATACAGGCAGAAGAAGAGTATGAACCGCCTCACCCGCTGAGATGTTTACTTATCTGCTCTCAGTTCACAGACGAGACCATTTTAGGTCACTGTATTTGAAATCTACAGTTCATTTATGGTTTTCCTGAAGCATCTCTTCTCAATTTTTCTCATATGACAGACATGTGCAGCTAATGAAATAAGAGGCCTTCAGCCATGTGTGTAAAAACACAAACATCAGGTGTGGAGCTGAACATTATGCCAGAGCCACTACATCCTGTTGGGCTTGGAGACAGGGGTCCAGTGCCAGGGAGGCGGCAAATCCGCTCCTTGTCTTCACAGCAACTTCATGGGAGATATTCAGGGTGCTGAATTGTACTCACCCATCGGTTCAGCACCCTGGAGAGCTCATACAAAAACTCAAGCCTAAACTCAGTGCGCCCAGTGAGAGGACTCCAGCTCCCATCAGATCCAGGTAGCATGTCCAAGGGTCAGAGATGATGGAGAACATCTGAAGGGCCACGGGCTTCCCCAGACATAACCGCTCTTACATAAAATAGTCAATTTGTACAGAAAAACAGCTGAGTATCCAAATATACACCGTTGTTAATTCATTATAAGCTAAGTATATGACTATTCATATACTTTTTGTTACCCTGTTAATGCCATCTCACCAGGAACCTCTTAGGGCTTTGCCGACTTCCTTAATTCTAAAGGCAGCTTGTTAGCTTAATAGCATAATTAAGCTACTCCGTTTCCCCCCTATTCTCTAGCATAAAAAATCCTTGCAGCCCTTGGTAGCTAGACAAATATTTCCCACTATTTTCTCCTAGTAAAATAAGGATCAACTTTTTAAAAAATTGGATGAAATAAGGGCCATAGGCTGTTTTTGCATCCACAGGGCCTGGATCCAATCCCCAATGGCATCTGGAGGAACGGCTTGAAACCCTGCTTCCAGTCAAAGCTGGCCATATCGGCCCAAATGAGTCTGATGCATTTCTAGGCAGCTTCCCATAGCCTAAATCAGTGGTGTCCAACCTTGGCCCTAGCATCTAGAGGAACGGCTTCTAGTCAAAGCTGGCAATATCGTCCCAAATGAGTCTGATGCATCTCTAGGCAGCTTCCCATAGTCTAAATGAAAATGTCCTGAATGTCTCCCTCTAGTGGCTAGTTCTGGTATGTACATCATAGAAACACAAATTTCTGGGATTTTTCTTTTAAGACCGCGGCTAAGCAAAACCACATTGGACACCACTGGTCTAAATGAAAATGTCCTGAATGTCTCCCTCTAGTGGCTAGTTCTGGTATGTACATCATAGAAACACAAATTTCTGGGATTTTTCTTTTAAGACCGCGGCTAAGCAAAACCACAGATACTGACCCCACAGAGACTGGATTCCTATTGCATCTATTTCTTCATGTTGTTATCCGTATATTCCATCTTTCCTCCAGGAAGCTTGAAGTGGTCTGCCCCTCTCTACTTTCCCCCCAGCCTTGTGAGGTAGATCAAGCTTCTCAAGAGATACCGTGATGGGCCCAGTAATATCCAGTGAATCAGTGGGGATCCTTAAGCCTGCATTTCTCCTCTCCCAATTCAATACACCACACTGGATTTCATAAGAAAAGTTACACCGGGTAACGATTTAATCAAATTTTCTTTGCTATCAGAGACGGTCAGATTACTTGCTCACAGGCCCCCCAGGTAAGACCTTCCCCCTGCCTGTCCTTGCGTACGGTTCTCCTCAGGTGGTGCGGTTAGGATGGATTTGCCATGTCCTTGAGTCTTGGCAGTTAGTGACAGGATGAAACAGACCGGCAGGTTTTAGCCATGCGTATGCTAAGAGTTGACAGCTCTCAAATCCATCAGGGAGCGAGGGCACCGAGGGTGAATCGCTGAAGCCGCCCCGACTGACAGAGCTTGTCATGAGAGGGGCACCACCTTCCCCCGTGTTAATGTTGCACACAGCGGGTGGCGCATGCCCCCCCCACGTCAGGCTTCAGAGTTTTAAATCAGTGCGCGCCACTGGCTGCGCTTCAGCGCCAAAAGTTCATTCATTCACGAAAGGCAGGTAGCAAGCGACAGCCGTTATTGAATTTTTATGCTCCCGGCCCACGGCCCAATTGTGTTCAGCTGTTGCCGATAAGCACGGCGGCGAACGGACGTTCAAAGAGAGACGGCCCTGCTATCCATCATCCCCCCTTTTTTCCCCCCTACCTTTTCTTTCCGGCTTGCTGAGCTCGAGGGAGATACCGAAACACACAACGCGCTCCGAGCGAAATAATTGCCCACGCTTAGCCGCAATATTTCTTCCAAACTCTCGGATGTTTTCCTAAGAGACGGCGACTTTGCCTCTTCTGACATTGTGATTGGTTTTAGGGAGGGAGAGAAGATGATTTCAGGTGGGGAGACGGAACCGCTGCGAAATGGCCTGCGCTGCGAGGGGAACGAGGCAGGGCTTTTCCCTGTCTCCCGATGGGCGGCCACAAAGGCCAAGGAAAATCGGCAGTGGCCTGCTTTGGAAGAGGCAAAGAGGAGCATTTCTTGGCTGGTTTGCTTTACTCATCTCTGAGTTATGTTCATATCCCACTTTTATATGGGTGTCCATGACTCTTGTCCTCACTCCTAACCCTTCACCACCACCGTGTGAGGTAGCTCAGGCCGAGAGAGAGAGAGAGAATCACTCATCTCAGGTCACCCAGTGAGTTTCACGGCTTCCTAGGGACTAGAAACTTGATCAAAACCCCAGATCTCCAGGGGGACGTGACTCTTTGTAGGACCAACTACAAATCCACAGGGAACAAAATCGATTCATTTGAAACGACTTCTGAGTTCTCCAGAACGTTTTATCTATCCAGATCATTTAAAAAATTGACGAGAAAGAGGACAGAATTCAGAGAAGTTAGCTAGGTGGTTTGAGCCCGGGCGATCTGCCATGAATCTCAGCTCCCACAGCATGAAACACGTCACCAAATGTTCTCCCTCCCAGATTTTTTTTTTTTTTACCTTGGCTCAATATCTGCCCTAGACCAAAAAGCCTCCCACCAAGCCATTACATCCAGCTACTTCCCTCATTTGGGCATGGTAGGGTCCATAAATTAGCAACACCGCTCCCCATCTCTCCTCGCCTACCTTATCAGCAGCGGCAATGTTTGCACAGGCTGCCCTTCTGCAAAGACAGGCTGATGAGAATTTTCAGTCTTAATTACCCGTTTACATCCCATCAGGCTGCAGATGATCTTCCGTGCACCTGAGACGGCTCGTACAGAAACCCGTTTTCCCGCTGCGGCTGCTTTGAGTCCCCCTCCCCTTTTTTTTCCTACGCTTTCTTCTCCTTCTGCAAATCTTCCCTCCCTCTTGCTGGCGCTCCCCCACAGCTATTGGCAAGTAAGGTGTTCGCGCACAAACACCATCCTCGACTGGCAGAACTCAAAGAAGGTTAGCTCTCCAAAGGACGCCTCAAATTGCAAAGGGGAGGTAGATGAAGGATAGACTCCGGCTTCACAGCTCTTGCAGTTTGTTATTCAGACTTTAAGCACCTCATTGCTCTAGGTGTAAAGAGAAGAAACATTCAAAATTTCATTCACATATATCTATATGAAGCATATATGTACCATGGTGCATCTATAAGCTCACTGCCTTGCTGGAATGCTCAAAAGTATATCAGGGTTTAACCGTCTGCTTCCAATAGAGGCTAGCCAGCTGCTTACCGGAGAACTTGAGCAGGGCAGGGAAGTGGAGAACAGGTACAGACTGGTGCTTTTGGGACTACAACTCCCAGAATCCCACAGGTTTGTGTGCAAAAACCTGCGTGCATCTATTGCAATTCCCTGCAGGCTGTTCCCATGCACCTGGCGTCTATTGCTAACTCTGTCCTGGGCACAGTGATTTTTGGAAGCTAAGCCAGGATCGGACCTAGTAAGTATCTGGATGGGAAACCAATAGGGAATTCTAGAGATGGGTCCCCAGTGTGGTGTCGTGGACAGAGTGCTGGACCAGACAACCACGACCTCCTTGAAACCCTGGAGAGCCATTGCTGCTCAGTCATGGCTAGATGGAGCAAAGGCTGACCATAGCAGGTTAGTAGAGGGACCAAGTGGTGACAATACTGTAACAGAAGAACCAACGGTTGACCGCGTTGAGCTAGAAGGACCCGGACAACCACTACCTCCTTCAAACCCTGGAGAGCCATTGCTGGTCAGTCATGACAAGAACAGACTAGATAGCAGGTTAGGGGGACCAAGTGGTGACAATACTGTAATAGAAGAATGAACGGTTGACCGCGTTGAGCTAGAAGGACCAAGAGCTGACAGTCATGAGCTACAGGGACCAAAGGTTGACCATGGTGGGCTAGAAGAGCCAAGGATTGCCAATGATGGCGTGTAGAGGGCCCAAGGATTGACAACAACAAGCTGGAGGCTAATGGTTAATAATTATGAGCTAGAGCAGTGGTTTCCAACCTTGGGTCCCCACCTGTCCTTGGTCTAAAATTCCCAAAAGCCTTCAGCACTAGCAATGATGGCCAGGGTTTCTAGGAGTGACAGTCCCAAGAATACTTGGGTTCACCAAGGTTGGGAACCACTGGGCTCTACAAACCAGTGGTTGACCACATCAGATGGACCAGCAGTTCAGAGTCATGGGCTACAGGAACCAAGAGTGGACAATCAAGGGCTAGAGGGCCCAATGGTTGATGATCACAAGCTAGAAGTTGACAACACTAGGAGACCAAGGGTGTGATACAACAGAAGGTAGCTTCCTATGCACCTTTCTAGTTCATCCCCACAACAATGCTGTTATGTAGGTATGGTCGAGAGAGAAAGGACACGAGGAAGCCTGGTTCAAGGTCATCGCATTGTATGTATAGCTCAGTAGGAACAACAGGCAATTCAACATCCTAAGCACTGTAGTCATTGCA